TAAATGTTTTTTTTTTTTTTCAAAATTAAATCCGTAATTATTTTCGCACTTTTTCATAATTCCTTAATTTTAAAGTCTTAAATCTAAGCTTATTAAGTAAATGAATTATATAGAAAGCAAACATATACACATACGTAACAATTTTTATATAAGCGTTAAAAATGTAATTTTAAGGGAAATCAACAAGCTCTTAATTCTATGATTAAAAAAAGAAAAAAATTAAATATAATTTTATGAAAAATACTAAAAAGGTACTTTCAATTCATTGAACTCTGTAGAGTATTTTTAAGTTTTATAATTATATTAACAGTAGTATAACAGTTAAGTAGTATAGCTCAGCCAACTATTAAAAGGAAAACCAATAAAAAACAAAACCTTAAATTTTTTGTTACCATATGGTCATTGATCATAAATTTAACCTAAATATAAGTAGTGGAACAAAAAATTTAAGAGCTTTAGTAAAAGGAAAAATAATTTATTTTTTTTTTCCCAACGAAAACAAAAAAAAAAAGTAATAATAATAATTCCCTAGCTGCCAATAAAAGATTTTAAGAAAGCGAAAGAAAGCCAGTGATTTTTATTAAGAAGAAAATTAATTTTGCATATAGTTGCATACATACAAAAATTTTGACTATATTTATTGTTTTCTATTATCATAAATATTTTTTCATTTTACCAATGTCTAGGTCTAGACATTAAGTACCTACATATATTCATTTGTGGGTATACATTATATGAATAATAATATGTGAGCATGAATATATTTTTTTTCTTAATAAAAAATATTTTTAATTTCATATTTGAAAACTAATTTTTTTCATTTTTAATTATTCATAGAAATTTTTCGTTTATTTTTTGATTGTAGAAAGCATACGTGTATTAAATTGACCTGTGGATAAAAAATACTTGCATAAATGTTAACAAAAATTTCAATATTTTTGAATGCAGTTTTTCGACTATTTTTATCTACATTCATACATAATTATACAACATACTTGCATGTTCACGGTTAATTTTATTCATTCATATATACTTAAAACAATCAAATACTAATAGAGTAATTTGTAATTTGAAAGTATTTTGATATACCTAATCTATCGTGTATAAAGAAAATTTTTGATTATAATGAAAAATTTTAATATATTTATATTAATACAAATTTCACATTGGGTTTATTTGTATTACAGATTTTGATAGCTTAAATCTTTCTATTCATATAATTTAAATTTTGTTTAATATTTACATAAATGCAATATTCAAAATTCTCTAGCTAGTATATCGAATTGTGGCCTATGAGATTGTGACCGGGGCTGAACTGTAGATTGTACAGATATGGAGTAATAGTGTACCGCGATCAGCATTCAAGGATCTATTAATTGTGGCCCCCCGCTAGTTGTGTCCCCAATAAATTTGATATCTTCTGGAGGTTAATTGATCACAGCTGCTCTGTTGTTGGAACTTAATTATTTTTTTGTCCTTTTAATCGATTCCCTACAGTTCTAGATTCCGTCGTTTCACCTACCTTCATCCTTTGCAATTCAATTCCATAAAAATGCTTGGTGATAGAAGCGATGTTTTGGCCCGGCATTCCAAATTATTTAACGCAATTATAGATCTGCTTACTTAATGCTTTAATCTTATTCATAATAATAATCCGCAGGTGACTAAGTACCACCACAGTCTTGAAACGGTGATGTAACTGTGGAATATTATCACTGAATCTATGTACTTACCTAAGCGTATACACACCCCAATTGCTTATATCTTAATTTTTAAGACTTTCGGATACGGATACATACTCATTGAATTTAATTACCTAGTTTTTCCTCATATAAATCGTTGTTGACCACTGATGTTGTCCAATAATGTTCCATTTCATGATATACATATTAATAACTAGAGAAAAAAATGTCCACAAGTTTTCTTCTACAATCAGCTTATCTTCTGTATGTTATTTATATTTTTTCTGAAAGACATAATTTATTACAAATCAGCTTTTAATTCTATAATTAAATAGTATTTGGGAAGAATTTTAGAGGGCTGGATTCATTTATCCATACCTATTCAAGCTACTGCATACGTTTTGACGCCAGTTGAGTAAAAAGTATACATAATATACGTAACCTATTTCGATATTTACATAATATACGTAAACTAATAAGTTTATAATTATTACTATTATTCAGAAGGTTTTGATCTGAAAACGAATCTATTGTAATTTGTTTTAAAATTTACAGTGCAATGGAACTTGGGAAGCCATTCACCTTAAGATATTTAAAAAAATTGTTTATTTTAATTAATACACTCAATTGTGAATAATTTCTTATGATTACGGCAATTAAATGATAAAATTTGTCAATAATTTTGTAGAAAACAAATTAATTGAAGATTTTGAAAATTAAAATAAAATTTGTGATATTATTAATACCAGAAAATATACAAGATTTTATCATTAAATTTTTTTCAATTAATTGAATAATTTTCTATAATTTTAGTGGAAAAATTTTTTAATGTAATAAATTTTTCTATTGTAAAATTACAATGAAAATATAAATTGAAATTTTTATTTTTACAAAATAACAAATCTTGTTTATTACTTTCAATAAGTGATAGTAGTTTTTATGATAATCACATAAATGAAAAACAAAAACATAAATTAAACAATGAGAATTTAAATAGAAACATTAAAATTACACTATACGACTTGTATTTTAATAAATCACTTTCAATTTCTACAATGGTTATGTGTGTTCGAATATGTTGGAATACTAAAATTATTCCTCATCTCAACAAAAACAAAATGACAAAAAACTTGGATTTGTAAGCATTTTTTTTCTTTTATTCCGAACGAAGATCATTTTTGACGGTGTTTTATTACCATTTTTTTCTTAAATTTTATTAGCAGCCTCTTAGATGGGATGAGATGATATACGCAAATTTTATTACAAACCTTTGGCTTCTTCAGTTTTGTTTTTTTTTTTCGTTTTTTTTTTCAACAGTATGCATTATAATTCAAATAAGATGATTATTATTATAATAACGAAATTTTATAAAACCTGTCTTCGTCTGCTGTAACGGTACATCTGTGTATGTGTCATATATAGGTTTTATTGTGAATATATTATTATGATTTAAATGTCGTACACGCGAGTTAAGTCAACAATAAAATTAAGCTTTCTAAAAGAAAAGAAATAAAAATAAAAGAGATATGCTAAGAAAAGAAAAAAAAAGAATAAGAAATATATAAAAAATATGAAGTTAAATAAAAGAAAAAAAAAAAATAAATATAGAAGAGGAAGAAATACGGGAGAGATGAAAATATTATGATGCGAGAAATGAAAAAGGAGGAAGACGAAGAAAAACTCGCTTTTAAAATAAAAAAAAATAATTGTACGTTCCATAGCAGCATACTTACAACAACAACAACTGATTATTCTGTAAATTACGGTACTTTCCACCTGTAATTTTTTTTTTTTAATTTTTGTTCTTGTTTTTTACTATAAAGTCTGAAAGTTCATAACTACGTGTTTATAGCTATATGCATTGTATATAACACTCTTAAAAAAATTTGCAATAGCAGAAATTCTATTTAATGTTTTCCTTCTACTATAGGGTTAAAACAATTTCGCAAAGTGCACATGATAAATGCTAATTAGAATTTTAACGTGTAGTAGAAAACGTATTTACAAGGTAAATCAAAATTTGATCGCAGAAACCGCAATTAACATTGGATTTGATTAAAAAATTTATAAAATGAAAAAGAATGCAGAAGTTGCGTTGGGAGTTGAGCCGGACTCAATTTTTCAAATTCGCTTAGTATTGAAACAATAATATTAATTTAATTGGTAAACGTGTATCATATATTTACATAGCAGTAAATGTATACTATTACAATACCGTATACCGCGTTCACTTAGGTTAAGCACAGATCAATTGAATTAATTTTGGTACGAGCACTCTATTTTAGTTTTATAACAAATAAAAACTAAAAATTATAATACCTTGCAAAAATTATAAAAATATTGACGTTTATATAATATGCAAAATTTAACTTTGTCTTAATCATTATGTTTGTAATATTGTTTGCATAATTATTTACAAAATATTGGAAAATTTTTACGAGTTTTTACGAATAATAAACGAAAATGAAAAGAACAAACAAGAGAAAAAAGTATAATAAATAAAACTGATTTTCATGAATAAAAGTCAACCTCTGAAGGTCAGAAGACTGCTATTATTATTGCTATAAATTTCTTCTCATATATAAGTTAATTTCCGTATATTTGTTACCAAAATGTTTGCATGTATATCACTTAAATTTTTTATTATTATTGTGTTCGAGTTATAGTTTTGTAATTGTGAAATTGATAAATCGAATATAATTTTCTTTTTCCATATTATCCATATACATACTCGTATATAAAAATATAAGATTTTCTTTTATAGCTCTTTCCATATTTCCGTAAATTGATAAAATTTAAACACCGTTTTTCTTAATTATCAAGGAAAACATAATATTCAAATTGTTATAAAGCTGTATAACAGTGTTTACATTTCATGTAAGTACATTAATAACAATTATTATGTGTACAGTGGAAATATACCTTAATTATAGCATAGATTTACAGTATAACATTATTTTAATAATGTTGTTGAATTAACAATGAACGCTTAAATCAAAATATAGCAGATATATTAATATCCTTGTGAAAAATGTATATTGTTATTTTGAAATAATGTTTTACGGCGTTTTTCCAATATAATTTAAAATGTTAAATTTTTTGAAGTTAATAAATGATGCAGTTTTTACAGGAAGAAAATTTTGTAAATGTTAGGCAAGTGATTAATATTAAAAAATATTAAAATAATTTAGAAAACTAGAAAATTCGCTCGAAATTTTAATTAAAACTTCCGTAAAATACTTTGAAATAATTTTAAATAGTATGTTTATTTAATATTGAAAATAAGGGTTCATCAAGGTGAATTTCAAACTTAAAATTATGTATGCTTTTATTCCAAAAGATGTTGGTGCTGCAGAAAAACACAGTTTTTTGGATACCACTACATCAGAAGTACTCAAACTACGGTTCTGTTGTCTAAAAGACAATAAAGATTCTGGGTTTCTATTGTTTGCCACAATATGCTCATGTAGTAGTTCAAGAGAATTCATGTGTATGAAATATTGATAAATAATGTGAGAGGGACGTATGAGGTGCAAAAATAGGAATAAACCCTGGAATGTATAGATCTTCGCTACATTCTTAAGGCTACGTATAGTTATCTGCTTTTCAATAACTATATTGAATAATTCTACATTCTTAGTTAAGCGGCACCATATTCAAGAGAGCCTAAATATAAACTACTGTCGATTTTGTTCGCAATAAAAGGACGAAAAGGGATTGGAAGTTTTGTTTGTAACCGAAAGATTTTTAGTAACTAGCAAAATGTCCTGTTTGGTATAGGTCTCACTAAAGTTAATCTTATGATTAACCTTTTTAGGTGAATGGAATTTTGTGGTATGAATGGGGCTATGGGTTGTGTAACTGTCAAAAATATTTGAATCATATTTAAACATAACTCCTATTTATAATTTAATATTTTTAACTAACATTTTTTAAAACAGAAAGACAATATTTCCAAAATTACCTAAAAATCTCCATAAAACCCCCGCTAAAATTCTGTTACTTCGAACTACTTTCATTCAAAATTTTCTTTAGCTTCAAAAAATTTTGTTAATTTTTTTTTGTCTTGTTGAACGACAATTTTTCCCCTTCATTTGTTTCTAAACATGTTTTTCATCCAAAAAATTTCTACCTTTTTTCTATATCTAAATTGCTATAAGCAAATTTTTTTATTTAATCTCTGTAATGTTCCATGTTATCGTTAGTACAGAGTGTGTACAACATATTTTATATCTTATAATGTGTGTGTACTTCAACTTAAATTTGTAAGTACACACATTATTTAAAATCACAAGAAAAATGTTATAAAAATATTTTATACTAATAAAATTACAAATTTTCCGTTATTATTGTTTGGTTTAATCATCTGTTAGAAAATTATATAGGTACGTGTTGAAAAATATTCGTACTGGTATTCAAACATTTTCTAAAAACAAGGGCCGCTATAACAAATGATTAAAATTATTTCTGAAATTGTTTTATGCATTTGCTATAATTACCTAATGTTTTAGTACTTTTTCAAAAAAAAGTATTAAAAAAGGTATTTTTGAGCTTCATTCTGTTCGTCCGTGGATCAGTTCTTTTACAACCTCTAAGATAGGTAGCTGAAATTTTACGTATACATAGATTTTTTATTTCATCCTAATTGTATGCAATTTTTTTATATATTTTGTCAATAAATAAGAATAATTTAAATAATGACGTAATAGATTGTTTTTAATTGTATTTGTTGGTGGAAAAAGTGCTATCTTAAGTGCTAAATCACTGAGCCAACTTTATGTTTAATCAAATTTATAAAAAAAAAATTGTAGAATTTTTAGTTAGTAAGTAATGTCCCGTTTTAGCTGGGAAAATTAGAAAAAATAAAATTCTATTCTTGAATTGAACTTTGTTGTAACTCTGGTACTGTACTGTTTTTAATAAATTTAGCATAAGTACATACCTACAGCTAAAAATGTAATTAGATATTATCCAATAACGTTTACGAATCCATTAAAATATTCTTTTGCAAATATTAATGTACGTCATCTTTCAAACTACTGGCACGAAATTAATTGGCACGCCAAAATTTTGTTTTAGATACTATATTTATGAAGCATGTAAAAATTGTTAAGATTGGTTCGTTGCGCTCTTGATTGTGCACTAAAGAAATTCCAGAGAAAAAAAGAAAAAAAAACAGCAAGAAAAAGCAAAGCAATTATTGAAAAGAAAAATTAAAAATAAAAAAAGAAATAGAAGTGGAAGAAAGTGGAAAAGATAAAAGTAAGAATAAGAAGAAAAGAAAGAGAAATATTTGTATTTTGTTTAACTGTAAAACAGAGATAGAAAATTTATTTAACATATGCTTTGCTTATACTTCTACTATCTGACTATCGACGAACAACTCAAAACAAATGAAATTTCCACATTGAAAGATCTTGCAGTTGAACAATTTTTATCTTTCATTCTACTACTTTTATGCTTTTTATTTTATTTTATTTTTTTTCTTTTCTTTTTCAACAACAAGTCAATGCCAGCAAAATATTGGTATGTATGAACTGATTATCAAGCGCATACCAGTATAATTTAGTAGAGGTATGGTATAGGCAAACGAATAGTTAGTTTGTTGTTTTTAAACTCAGTTTAGTTTAGCTGCAATAATTATCTTGAAAAATACTAACTTAGTATAACCTCAATTAAATTTAAAAAACAGTTTCAAACGTGATGCGAAAGTAAACGGTACCATAAAATTTTCGAAATAGTAAGGAAGAAAAAAATTAATTCCGTTTATTTTTTTGTTTTTTATGAAAGAAAAAGGAATAATTTTTTAATAACGCGTTTGTTTGTACGTGCATTTTAATCAACGCGTCCTTTTTTATACAATTTTTGTTTGTTGTAAATGATTTTTGCGTTTAATCTTAATTTTTGTTAATTTATTTTAAATTTATTATTATTTAAGTATTAAATTATTTTTGTTCTTATTAATTTAATTATAATATAATTGATTCAGCTATTTAAATCATTAATTTATGAACTCATAAATTGCATTGTTTAAACATTTATTAAAGAAAAAAAAAATTAATTTTTTAATTTATTGTTGTCAACTTTGAATTTTTTTTTTGTTTTTGTGAAAATGCATTTTTATCGTGGGATCGTGATTATTTTTTTAACAATATGTAAGCATTTTTTTATGTTTTGATTATAAAAATTTTTGTTAAAAAATTTAAGATTATTGCAATGTTAATTACAATGTTAATTATTATAATTGATGACTTGACATGTTTAAAAAAAAGGAGTCTTAAATTCAGTAGATTGTTCATAGACTATTCTTGAACATGCTAGAATTAATACAGATGGATAAAATTTGAAAATTTATTAATAATTTTAAATTTTAATAGTTTAACAGGCTATTTTTTAATTTTTAGAGTTAATAGATTTTAAAAAATTTCGATGTAAAGTGTCTGCCTGAAAAAAAATGATGGAACTATTTTTCAATGGAGCCTTTTTTTGGTTGTGAAAAACATTTTTTAACGTGATCTGATTTGACTATCTTGATTAAAGAAGAAAAATTGGTTTAAATGCCCAAACAGATCAAAAGGTGTTAAACTGAAATTGACTATCTCACTTACATAATATTGGATTTTGGTATTGCTTCTGATTTAAAGACCAATGGTTCGTCTGCTAGGAACACTTTAGTTTGTTTGTGGCATCATAAGTATTCTTGATGGATTCATTGAATTTATTCCTATCGTATCTATCTAACGTTTAAATACGTGAATGGGCGCTTAAATTTTTTTTAAATTTTAAATTTTAAGGTAGAAAGTTCTAGTTGATATTAATTTGTTTCAGTAAATTTGTTTGAAATTTCAATCACATATTTGTTGAAAATAACAGATTTAAAAATTGTGTTAAGCTTTATTTCATAAATAATGTTTGTGAAAGCGTCCTTACGGATCAAAGACAATTTGAATAATATGAAATTTTTTTTTAAATTAACACCTCAATATTATAACGTTTTCTCTTACATGAGTATATTTACTTGATTAAACACTACAATAATTACTTATTTAAATGTCACAACTTCTTAATTCGTAAATTTATTTGCATAGCAGCTTATAACAAATTTCAAAAAATAATTTGTTTCTGTCAAACTCTATCATGAAGCTTTGCTAATGGAAATAACGGGATATTAATATTTTCAATTCACGGTATACTTGAGTATGAACAGTATGTTGAAAATTATACCCTGTCGGTAGCTCGTGTTCTCACAATTAAGACTGAAAGTGGAAATATTATAGCTACTCCGGAGATTTTTTTAAATTGCCTAATTCTTTTTAAACTAAAAATAATATTGCTTGTCAGTGACCAAATTTACACATAAAAAAGAACTCTAAGGTGTGCATAGGCTGAAGGCACTCCAGGAAAGTTAGATCTCACTAACCTATTTCAGAATATTTGAATTAAGTAATTACTGCACAAATATCCTATTTTAAATTGATTAATCCTATTTGATAAAATCACTGTCACTCATAGAAATTAAACTCTTTTGAGTAATATTTTTATTTGTGACACTTAATTGTATATTAATTTAACGCTGAACTAATTTCAATTCAAAAATATTTCCGTTTTACTAATTCTTAAGCTAGTTAATTCTTATACATATGTAGAAAGTAAATGTGCGTATGTGTAATAATTTTTCATTATAGTTGGCTAAAAGCGAAACGAAAGAAATTAAATAAAATCTCACATAGATTTCTTTTTCCAAAAAACTTTAAAATCTACAAAATCATTTCTTTTCTATTCAATATTTTATTTCTTTATCTTTGGACTAATTCCGGTACAACTTTTAAAATGGTTTGAGTTATTTATGATTTAGTTATTATTATACATTATTATAGTTTTCTTTTCATATACACATGTAATTTTGTGAATATTAAAAAAATAAATTAATAAGAATTTTTGTCCCATTTTTTGACAGACCGCTTAATAAATTAATTTGTTAGCTCAATTGAACTTGTTTATCAACTTATGTATTTAATTTTTTAATTAATAATTTTTAATATTAAATTTTAAGAGTTTAAAGAATTTTGTGAGTTATATGCTTACATCATGTGGCATTTAGCTGAAACTATTAAAAAAATTTAATACAGTAGAAGAAATTAAATGAAATTTTGGATTTCGGATTGAGTATAATTTTGAAAGATGATGAAAGAAAACTTTTAAAAATTTTATGAAAACTATTGTGAATTCTATAAAACTAAATTTGTTAAAAATAATTTTGTTATTGCATAATAATTTCTGTATTATTTATGTATTATCTATATATGTGAGTATGTAGGGAAAACCTCTGAAATATATAAGAAATTTATTTTTAACTTGTTAGGAAAATAGAGGTCGACTTTCATTTTTCTTTTGATGCCATTTCATGAATTGCAATAATATTATTGTAAATTGTGAATGGAGCAATAATTTTTTGCACAGTTTTAATGCAGTTTAGTGGTTTTATTTTCA